GAAAAAGAAGAAATATGAACAATAAAATGACAATAAATACATATCTATCAATAATTTAATCTAAAAGTCAAAATAAATTAACAAGAAATCTAATGAACAAAATAATCTGATGAATAACATACAACCAGTTATATGGCAACATGGACAGACCGATGAATCTCAGAGGGAAGAGGTGAGGGGGGACGGGAAGAGATTTACCAAAGATCTTATATGCATTTATGCATTACCTATGGACATAGACAATATGATGGTGAAGGCTTGTCCCAGGGTGGGAACCAGATGGAGGGGGTCAGTGGGGGAGAAAGGGAGTTATCTGTAATGCTCTCAACAATAAACATTTTTTTTAAAAAGACGACAATATTGTTAAGTTCACCATGATCCTTGTATTGGTCTACATATTCAATGTGATAACTATAAAAAATCTTATCTCTCAGAAATTTACAAAATCATACTAATATTCTTATAGAAATTCAAGGGATCTAGCTAGAATAGCCAAACAATCTTCAAAAACAAAACAACAATAACAACAACAGTAACAAAGAACATGTTGGATGGCTTATACTTTCCCATTTCAAAACTCATTGCAAGGATATTGTTTTCATGACTGTATGGTACTGTCATAGGACAGACATCGAATTTTATAGAATTGAATTAAGATACCAAACATAATTCCTTACTTATGGTTAATTGGTTTTTGACAAGTGTGCCAAGACAATTCACTGTGGAAAGAATATTCTTTTCAATAAATAATGCTGGGAGGCCAATGTCTTATTTGGTTCATATATACATTGAAATGCTTTTTAGCCATAAGAAAAGAAGAAATACTGCCATTTGTGACAACATGGATGGATCTTGAGAATATCATGCTGCTAAGTAAAAGAAGTCAGATAGAAAAGTCAAGAGCCATACTTTTCACTCATATGTGGGATTTAAAACTGAAAGCAACAAATGAACAAACAAGACAAACAAACAAAACCTAATAGCCACAGACAACAGTGTGGTAGTAACCAGAAGGAGGGGGGTGTGGGATTAGGAGGGGGTCAAATATATGGTAATTGAAGGAGATTTGACTTTGGGCGGTAAACACATAATGCAATGTACAGATGAAGTATTATTGAATTGTACATTTGAAAGCTACATAATTTTATTAGCCGATATCACCTTAATAAATTTAATAAAATATAATACTGGGATAACTGGATAGACGCATGTGAAAGAATGATGTTAGACCTGTTTGTACACAGCATGTACAAAAATTAACTCAAAATGGATTAAGAAACTAAAGTAAGTGTTAAAAGTACAAATCTCTTAGAAGAAGAAATAAAGGTATAACACAATCACGCACCACTCACAAAAATTAAGTTGAAATGGATGAAAGACTTAAATGTACAAGTGACAAATGAAGGTAGATAAATTGGATTTCAACAAAATTTTAATCCTTTCTTCTTCAAATGACAGTTAAAAAACAGCCCACATTTGTGAGGAAATTTTGAAGATCATCTATCTGATAAGGGACTTTTGTCCAGAATATATAAGTACTTTTACTACTCATTAATAAACACAAATAACCCAATTATAAGATGGGCAACATAATTGAATAGACATATTTACAAAGAAGATAAGGAACAAACTGAGCTTACATGGAAAAATTCCAGAATAACAAACAATCTTTTGGACCCTTTTTAAGCTAAAGTATTTGAGAACAGCAGGTCAGTGAACATTTATATTTTTTCCTGTTTATACTTTCTGATTAGGGTATTTTTCTTCTTTGTGCCGAGATTGAACTTTTAATTTGCGGCGTTTGCAAAGGTGACTCCCCTGGATATGTGCAGTAACTTAATCCTCAGAAGGAAAGAGTGCCATTTTTTTGGTGTTCTGTATTGACCCTGAACTTAGTTTCATTTGTTCTTGAAATGCTGGATTAGTTGTGCAGTTCATTTAGGAAGGGAAGTTTATTTTTTATCTAAAAATATTAACATGGATTCCTTTGTTTCTCTGTACTTATAATGTTTGTTGTAATTCAGATACCATTTAAGAATATACTTCCTGTTTGTGGTGAGAAGTTGGGAACTTTAAAATAGAAGTTATTAGAATTGAAAGGGATGGTTAAGACTATCTAGCTTAATTTGGCTTAAATTTATTAGTTTATTTATTTAGTATATTAGGAAAATGAAGTCCAGGGAGAAGTGACTTGTCCAGTCACCTCACCCGTAAGTGACAGAACTGGCACTAGGAGAGTAGAACATTGGGATGGGGAAAAGGTAATGTTTATTATTGACTATGAGTTGGCATTCTACATTTACCTTCTAATTTAGTCCTTAAAACAACACTCTCAAGTATTTTATCATGCCTGTTTTACAAGGTAGGCAATTGAATGTCAAAGGGTTCAAGTTACTTAATTAAAAATTGCACATCAAGAGGATGGTAGACTGAGACTGTAAATCCAAGTTTATCCCAAGTTCCTGCTCCTTCTATTTCTTTCTTAAACTAGAATCTTCGTCGTTTATTACCCCCTCTAATGTTATTTCTTACATACCACATGCCTTTTCACCTACAATCCCACAAAAGCTTTTCAGAAATCTGAGAAACAAAGCTATAATTTAGGGATGGATTTAGGTTTAATAGTAGACACAGAGAGCAATGGAACAGAATTGAGAGCTCAGAAATGTATAATCAACTAATATTTGACAAGGGAGCCAAGAATACTAAATGGAGAAATGACAATCTTTTCAATAAATGGTGCTGGGAAAATTGGATATTCTCATGTAAAATAATGAAACCATTCCCTAGTCACACACTACTCACAAAAATTAACTCTTAATGGATTAAAGACTTGAAAGTAAGACCTGAAACCACAAAACTCTGAGAAGAAAATAGGGGAAAAGCTTTTTGGGATGAGTCTTAGCAGTCGTGTTTTTGCTATGACACTTTAAACACAAGTAATAAAATAAAATAAAACTACACAAGTTGGATTACATCAAATAAATAATCAACAGAATGAAATGCCAACCTATGGAATGAGAAAATATTTGCAAATCATCTATCTGATAAGGGGCTAATATAAAAATATATATAAAGAACTCATACAACTCAGCAGACAAACAAACAAACAAACAAAAAACCCAAATAATCCAATTTAAAAATGGGCAAAGGTCCTGAATAGATATTTTCCTAAAGAGATATTGAAGTAGTCAACAGGTACATGTAAAGGTGCTCAGCATCACTAGTCATTAAGGAAATGCAATTAAAAACCATGATGAGATAGGACCTCTTGCCTGTTAGAATTGCTATTATAAAAAAGACAAGATGTAATTGCTGGTAAGGATGTGGAGGAAAGGGATCACTTGTCCATTGTTGGTGGGAATGTAAATTGGTGCAGACACTATAAAAAACAGTATGAAAGTTCTTCAAAAAATTAAAAAAATAGAACTACCTTATTATCCAGCAATTCCACTTTTGGCTATATATCTAAAGAAAATGAAATTACAATGCTGAAAAGATATCTGCACCCCTATACTTATGGCAGTATTACATGTAATATTCAAGACATGGAACAATCTAAGTGTCTATTGATGAATGAATGAATAAGGAAAATATGATATACAGTATATTTAAAATATGACACACACACACACACACACACACACACACAAACACGATAGAATACTATTCATCCACAGAAATGAAGGAAGTCCTGCTATTTGCAACAACATAGATGGACCCTGTGGAGGTTAAACTAAGTGAAATAAATCAGAGAAAGACAAACACTGCATGATATCACTGATATATGGAATCTAAACAAACCAAACTCATGAAAAAAAAGTCAAATTCGTGATTGACAGAGATGGGGTGGGCTGGGGAAATTGGGTGAAAGTGGTTCAAAGTTATAAACATTCAGTTATAACTAAGTGCTGTTGATGTTATGTACAACATGATAAATGTAGTTAAGAATGCTGTATAGTATTGAAACGGGAAATTTGGACTGGAAACGCGCAGTGTTCCCTTGAGCAGGATGGTTCCCGGGCTCTTGCCCGGTGGAGAAGAATGAAACCATGGACAAAAGGTGGTATAGCAAAGGTGGAAATTTATTGAGAAACAAGCACAGACTCCCACGTGGGGAGAAGAAAGAGTTCCACTGAGTCCCTTTTTCCTAAGGTATATAAAGGCTGCAGTTCTTTGTGCCTTGATATCCCCTCTGATTTGTCACTATCCCCTTCTGATTTGGTCACTATAGCAACTCCAGAGCTCAAAGGTTGAACCTAACATGGGAAACGTGAGGCTCTCCTCCTTCTTCTCCCTTATTGTTTCCCTATTCCCTCTGGGCTTTCTTCTTCTCTTTTTGAATGAGAGGCTTCCTTCCCTTTATTCTGTATATGTATAGCTTTCTGCAGCTCCCAGCCGCCTTATTCTATGGGAATGTGCCTTCTGCTGTTTCCAGCTCCCTTATTCTATGGAAATGTACCATTTGCAGCTCTGTAGCCCTGTGCTTTTTCCATGGACTCCTTAATTCCTCAAATTTCCTAAACCTGCCTATTTCACCCATAAAAACTCTTATTTTACCCCTAAAAACTCCTTTCAGTATAGTTTAAAGTTATAAAGAGAGTAGTTCCTAAAAGTTCTCATAACAAGGAAAAACAAAGTTTTTTTTAAGTATCTGAGGTGATGGATGCTAACAACTTATGGTAATCATTTTGCAATATATGTATATCAAATCATTATGCCATACACCCTAAACTTGTATATTGTTGTATGTCAATTATATCAATAAAACTGGAGAAAAAAATCTTTTGGGTAGGGGGATTGGCAAAATAAGAAACGGAAAAGATAAAACAAACACTGGACAGCACGGAACACATTCTTCTATTGACCTTATATTTGATATATTCTTTTAGTGGCCATGTGGGTGTGGGATATAGGTTCCTACCTCCTGTTGTACAGATCTCTGTCTACTTGCCCATCAAGTACCATGATTAATTTTATTTATTTTTTTATCCTTTTAGCTGAATCCTTCAAGGAATTTGCTGAATTACTCAATGAAGTTGAAAATGAAAGGATGATGATGGTAGGTCACTGCCACTGGGCCTGGAGCCTAGATCATTGGGAATTTTCCCTGTCTTCTTTGGTTAGATGAATGCTCTGTTGTTTTGGTTTTTGTCTCATGGCTTCTTGGTACTGTAAAGACAGTTAGAAAATAGATAGATCTGGTTATTTAAGCTCAAGCTCCCACCCTGAGCGTTTAGCATCTCAGGTAAAGAGAAATTAGTGTGGAAATCCTATTCCTATTCATTTCAGTGAGAAAGGATTTCAGAGGACACTAAACTGGACTGTTGAATATGTTCACCAAAATTATGATCTTTTTGTTCTTAAGCAAATTATCCATTTATTTGTCTCTGCTTCCAGTAATAATATGGGTTTTATTTACATACTAGAGGCCCGATACACGAAATTCGTGCAAGGGGCTCAGCCCTTGCAGCCGCGGTGGCTTGCCTCACCCCTCACAGCCGTGGCGGCTTGCCTCAGCCCTCGCAGCCAGACTTCATCTGGAAGGTTGTCCGGCTGTCCAGTCTAATTAGCATATTACACTTGTATTATTATAGATGATTGATTAATTCAAATCTATTATGAAAACTTATTTCTTACATTTAAAGTTTAATTAAAAATGACTTTAATAGTTACAGCAATTTTAGTTTTATTGGAAAATTGAGTGGAAAGTACAGAGAGATTTCATATGCTTCCTTTCTCCCCCTACCCCTTCCCACACACAGTTTCCCCTATTTTTAACATCTCGCAAGTGTTGTACAGTTGTTTCAATTCATGAGCCAATATTGACACAATATTAGTAACTAAAGTCCATAGGTTACATTATATTTACTATTTCTGTTGAACATTCTATGGGTTTTGACAAATGTATAAAGACACGAATTCACCAATAAAGTATCATCATACAGAATGTTTTTACAGACCTAAAATGCCCATGTTCTTAACTTAGTCATCCCTTTCTCCTTCCCTTATATAAGAACCCTTGGCAAACACTGATCTTTACTTTTACTGTGTTTTATCTTTTCTAGAATGTCATATCATTGGAGTCATACAGTATGTAGCCTTTTCAAATTTGCTTCTTTCACTTAGCAATAGGCATTTAAAGATTGTTCATGTCTTTTCATATTTTCATGGCTTGATAGCTCATTTCCTTTTATCACTGATATATATTCCATTATATGGAAGTACTACAGTTTGTTTATATTTTCACCCATTGAAGGACATCTTGGTTGCTTCGAATTTTGTCATTTACAAATAAAGGTGCTATAAATGTTGTATTGCAAATCAGCGAGCTAGACAAATCATCAATGAGCTAATTAGTTAGGAGTCATCTTTATTGCGCGCAGGTTCAGAGCAGATTACCTCTGTCAAATTCTGAACAAACACAGTAAGGAGTATTTCCTTTTTATATTCTTCTAGTTCTTTGTGTAAGTTATTTTTGTAGACAGCTTGTAACCTTGAGTACATATCATATCTAGCAAACACCTGTCATATCTATACAGACAACTTGTAACCTTGAGTACATATCATATCTATACAGACACCTGTAACCTTGGGTACATAGCTATACAGACACCTGGCATCAGTATCAGTGTATCAGTCCCTTATGTTAGATGGCTAGCTTGCAAGGTCAGACAATTAAGTTTATCATTTCTATTATTCAAGCTAAAAAACAAAGTTATTTTACAAAATAAGAGACTATCTAACAATAACAGAGTTGACCTACAGAATAAGAGACTAAGAATAACAGAGAAGTTCAAACAGCAGTTTTATACAGCAGTTTTCCAAAGAAGGGATTACTATGTTTCATAAACATGTGTGCAGATTTTTATGACATTAATTTTCAACTCTTGGATAAATTTCAGAGTGAATTTTCTGGATTGTATGGCAATAGCAAGGCTAGTTTTGTAAGAAACTGCCAAACTTTATTTTATTTTTTAATATAATTTTTTTTCTTTATTGATTAAGGTATTACATATGTGTCCTTATCCCCCAATGTCCCCCCCCCCACCTCATGATTTCAAAGTGACTGTAGCATTTGCATTTCCACCAGCAATGAATGAGGGTTCTTGTTGCTCCATATCCTTGCCAGATTTGATGCTATCAGGTATTTTGAATTTTACCCATTTTAACACATTGTGTACAGATCACGAGAATTCTCGTGTTTTCTGTTCTAAGGCTTGTGGCCAATCACGAGATTTCTTTTAAAAGATATAAGATTGTAAGAACATGTAATAAATAACTTCAAAATGCAATGGGTATTTAATTTTAAAGCATGCCTTTAACATTTATGTAAAACATTTTTTTGTACTCGTTCAATGGAAACTTATCTGGCCACTGAGTAAAGCTAGCAATAAAACTACTGATCTGCAATGTGTTTAATAGGTATATAGTGAGATCTCATTGCTAGTGTAGTTTGCATTTTTCTGATGATGTATGATGTAGAGCATCTTTTCATATGTTTATTTGCTATATGTAGATCATCTTTGGTGAGTTGTGTTTGTTCAGGCCTTTTGCTCATTTCTTTTTTTGGTTGTTGGAACTTTGTGGAGGACAACAAAGAATTCTACCTTTTCTTTCCTTCATAGGATGTATTCCTATTGGCAGACCATTTCTGTTAAGCCCATTTATTCAGATGTCAAGAGTTCTTTCATCTGTAATCACTCTTCCTTTTCAACATTGTGGTACTGGCTTCTCAGAATACTGCTCTTATTTCATGTAGGCTTCTAGAGAAGTAGCATTGAAGGCAGGGCTTGGAGGTAAGAGAATTAGAGACTATTAGGCTCTAATAATGGCTGCTCCACTAATTTACTTGTTAACTTTAGATTTATCACACATTTCTCTGAGTCTCTCTTTCTTCATATGTAAAATGATGAAAATAATCTTCAACTCCCAAAGTTGTTTTAAATACTCCAAATTTAATGAATATGAAAGTGTTTTATTACTAGTAATAGCAAAAATCACTGATTATGTGTATTGTGTTTAGTTACCTTTTGTTGCTTCCATGATTTTGCTTGTGGAAATTTCACTTGGGAAATTTCTTAGTTCAAGAGATTTGCTTCTAAGGGTACTGAAAGGCCAATATGGGTAGTTTCCTTGGAGTCTGGTATCTGACTTACTAACTAATCCACACTCTACTAAATGGTTTTTTTCCTGCCTGAAGAGTTTCTGAGCTGCTGCCAATGTTGATCTCAAAGCCATTCACCCCCATTTTATTCAGATACCATTAGAAAGCTCAGCTGTACTCTCTTCAGCCCTATTTGTTTCTTGATCTCTTTTATTTACCCAATTACAAAGCTCTCAAATATTGAAGTAGGATTCATCTTTTGAGATGTTGTTTTTCTCACCCTTCTTGCTGGCTGTTTGCCAAAAGAGTGACTCATTTTCTTCTGTCTTTAATTATGTTGTGCCCTTTTGTCTCCACAACTCTTCAGTCATGTACTGAGTGTTGGCTCCCCATTTCCCATTTAATTTCATGAATGCTGTGAAGGTTAGGCTCAATGAGGGCCTTTCACAATATGCCAGAAATTCATTTCTTGACTGCACCTCTTCCATTTCTTGGACTCTAATACCCCAATATGGATAATGTGGGAGATGTTAATCACCTTTTTAAAATCAGCTTTTTATCCTTTCTATAAGAAGAGACCAAAAGAAGCTTTAGAAGAACAAATAGGAAGTTCAAAGTGCTAGCATGTGACAATTGCAAATGTTCTAGTCACCCTCAGAAATGAATTTAAATTGTGGAAAGAACTAAGGAGGGAAGAAATGAGAAGGAGCATCCCAGCTGTGATTTCTTAAACAATACCCTAGGGGAGGTTGTAGTACCTTAGAAGGTGGCCTTTAGAAGTCCGGATGACAGACTTCCTGTATAGTTAAAGATAGGAGGTTTGCCTAAGTGAATGTATGACTCTGAAGGGGACTTTATAGGCAATGTGCAAGGTCTGTCTTTGAGGACCGCCAGGAATAACCTAAAGTGGCCCATGATATTTAAAACAGTCTGTCCTTCATTCCTTCTTTTGGTAATTGGTTAACCATCAAAGATTACTAAGCAGTTTTGCACTACTGGGTTGAATACCATCTCTACCCTTCTAAATGCCCTATCTAGTGTTAATATGTGCTTCATTCAATAGAAACCTGATTAGATATACTCACTAATATGTTTAGCATGTCACTTATTATTCCGGGGATTCTACCCTGACATAACAGATAGGAACTTTTCTCCTAGAGAGCTCACAAAATGGATGCAGTGATCAGAAAGGGTAATAAGGGCCAGCATTTATGAGTTGTTGCTAGATTTCTTCTTTTTAAAATTATTTTCTAATTACAGTTGACACAGAATAAGTAGTTGCTAGAATTTTAAGTTAAGGATAAAAAAGAATGAAAAAGAAAACAGAACCAAGCTTCAGTGTAACCTTTTCATACATCTCTAGCTCTGTGTTTTGGCAGAAAGTAGTATAATAACCAATTAATGTCAAAGAGATGAAGAGGTTCAGAGTATCTATTTGTTTTGTAGTAGACTGGGAGCAATATTGCCAATGTGATTAAGGGAAAACTATAGACTCCAATTTTGGTGAATCATGCACTACTTTCTAGATTGAGACAGGCCACACATATAAAAAGCAGTAGCCTTATGGGTCAGTATGACAACTGCTTATTCAACAAAATGCCTTTTGGAACATAAAAAACAACAACTGGATGCCTGCATATGCAAGGGCTCACCTGAATGAATACTCATATAGCAGCTTGACACATGCTACTCTCTTTAGAAGTGGCAAGTCTCATAGTATCACTTCTTCTGTACTCTGTTGGTTCAAAACAGTAACAAATCCATCATATTCAAGGTAGGGGACAGAGACCTAACCTCACAATGAGAGGAGAGTCACAGAATTTTTTGGCCATGTTTTAAAACCTCTACAAAGCTCAAAAAATGACTCCCTGCACTGAATTTGACACCAAGACTTAATTTGTTTCCATGTGGGCATACAAAGTTAATAGCACATAATCCATAATCCACAGAAGTGTAGAGCATGCGGGGCAAGAGCGACAGCCTGGTACTTTTAGTAGACGGATTCTTGTTTTTAATCGAGAGTCACTGGTGTCTTTATTTTTCATTCCAGGGCAGTTAGTGGAGCTATTTGAATGGATAAAAGTTTGCCCATTTAATTGAACCTTGATTCATACCTGGATACAATACAGGAGATCCAAAGTGCCTGTAAGACCTGGATAAATCTACACTAATAAAAGACAAACATGCAAATTGACCATACCTTCGCTATGCCTTAAGCCACACCCACCAGCCAATCAGAGCAACTATATGCAAATTAACCCAACCATGATGGCGTCCAGCAGCCACAGAGCTGGAGCAAGCAGGAAGCTTGGTTGCTCCAGTGATGGAGGAAGCCAAGCTTCCCGCCTGCCGCTGCCAGCTCTGAGCTCCACTCAAGGCAACAAAGTTTCAATTATAGAAGATAAATAAACCCCAGATACCTGCTTTCAGCCGGCCGGGGCCACGGAGCTGGAGCGAGCAGAAGGCTTGGGTTGCCTCAGGTGATGGAGGAAGCCAAGCTTCCTGCCTGCCCTGGCCGTCTCTTTGCTCCACACAAGGCTACAAAGTTTCAATTATACAAGGTAAATAAATCCCAGAATAAAAAAAAGAAAAGAAAAAAAGGAGAGACTGGGAGCTTCCATCACCAGGGGGCTTGGCCAGCCTGAAAACGGCCCTCAGCCCCTCACCCAGACTGGCCAGGCACCCCAGTGGGGACCCCCCACCCTAAAGAGGGTGTGGCCAGCCTGAAAACAGCCACCAGCCCCTCACCCAGGATGGCCAGGCACCGCAGTGGGGACCCCTACCCTGAAGGGAGTGTGACCAGACTGCAAACACCCATCAGCCCCTCACCCAGGCTGGCCAGGTACCCTAGTGGGACCCCCACCCTGATCCGGGACACCCTTCAAGGCAAACCAGCTGGCCCCCGCCCGTGCACCAGGCCTCTATCCTATATAATAAAAGGGTAATATGCAAATTGACCCTAATAGCAGAACGACTGGGAATAACTGGTCACTATGACACACACTGACCACCAGGGGGCAGATGCTCAATGCAGGAGCTGTCCCCTGGTGGTCAGTGCACTCCCACAGGGGGAGCTCTGTTCAGCCACAAGCCAGGCTGATGGCTGCCAGCACAGCGGTGGTGGTGGGAGCCTCTCCCACCTCCTCAGCAGCACTAAGGATGTCCGACTGCAGCTTAGGTCTGCCCCCTGCTGGTAAGTGGATATCCCCCAAGGGCTGCTGGGCTGCCAGAGGGATGTCTGACTGCCAGCTTGGGCCCGTTCCCCCAGGGAGCAGGCCTAAGCCAGCAGGTGGACATCCTCCGAGGGTTCCCAGACTGCAAGAAGGCATAGGCCGGGCTGAGGGACCCCCCCGAGTGCACAAATTTTTGTGCACTGGGCCTCTAGTATATATATAAAACCCCAATTTGCCCAATGCTTTTTGGTGGTAGTTTAAAAATTGCTTCTTAGTTTGGAGAATACAGGACTGGTCAAAATTGGCTTTTGACTCTGTCTTCTATTGTTGTTATCTTGTCTTATTGATACTTTATGTCTCATCTGACAAGAAAGCCAGTCCCTCATTTACACGTCTTTTAGTAGATCAAAATTAATGCAACACGTCCTAAAATCCAGCCCTTCAGATGTGTTTGCTAAAGTCCTCCAATAAAGTGCAAATAATTCACACCACTGAAGAAACAAACCCCACTTGCTGCCTTGGACAGCTGCCAAGAGATTTACATGAAGACAAAGTTTTATGTATCTCTATCTGCCCATTGAATAAGGGATTTGATTTGGAGATGATGTTTTTATATCTCTAGAACATATCAATGCCAATATTTTAGTACCTGGACAGGCTCAGGCTGTTCCTGTCAGCTTCTGAGAATCTATAATTAGGTAATTGGAAGGCCTGGTCTAGTGTTCTGTCTGTTGCTTTTAATAATACACAAAATTCTGAAGGAAATGTTCTGGTTTTATGACATACTAGAAGAAGACTAGAAACAATTTGTCCTAATGCTATTATTGCTAACTCATTTGCTTCCCATGAAGTAGTTTGCGCTTCGTACAACTGGCCTTTTCATGTATTTTTCACTCTCTTTTCTACTTACCACACATACTTCAGGCTTCCTGTGTGTGTTTGTGGACATGACTCTGGATATTTGTCTTTTTTTAAAAAAAAATTCTTTATTGTTTAAAATATTACATATGTCTCCTTTTCCCCTCATTGACCTCTCCCCAGCCATTCCCACCCCCCAGCTCATGCCCTCACCCCACTACTGTCTGTGTTCATGTGTTATGCTTATATGCATGCATACAATACCTTTGGTTGCTCTCTTACCCATCCCCCCACCTTCCCTCTGAGGTTGGATGGTCTGTTCGATGCTTCTGTGTCTCTGGATCTATTTTTGTTCATCAGTTTATGTTGTTCATTATATTCCACAAATGAGTGAGATCATGTGATATTTATCTTTCTCCAACTGGCTTATTTTGCTTAGTATAATGCTCTCTAGGTTCATCCATGCTGTTGCAAATGGTACGAGTTCCTTCTTTTTTAGAGCAGTGTTGTATTCTATTGTGTAGATGTACCACCATTTTTTAATCCACTCATCTGCTGATGGGCACTTAGGCTGTTTCCAAATCTTACCTATTGTAAATTATGCTGCTATGAATACAGGGGTGCATATATTTTTTCTGATTAGTGTTTCTGATTTCTTGGGATATATTCCTAGAAGTGGGATTACTGGGTCAAATGGGAGTTCCATTTTTAATTTTTTGAGGAAACTCCATAGTGTTTTCCATAGTAGTTGAACCAGTCTGCATTCCCACCAGCAGTGCATGAGGGTTCCTTTTTCTCCACATCCTCACCAGCACTTGACGTTTGTTGATTTCTTTGGCTATTTTTCAATTAAAATATCTGATCAGATTACCGGTAAAATTACAGAGAAATGTCTCTAATGTTCCTTCTCTCATTTCCTTTCAAAGCATTTGATTTTAAGAGACCAATATAGGAAAATGTCAGCAACAAAACCCAAAGAGCCAGCACACTAGTTAACATTACACTGGATGGTATATTACAAGGAAATGTCCTAGTAACAAGGAATCTTGAATCTGATTTTGCCAAACTAAAAATTGTTTTGTGTGTTCTTTCTTTTCTCTAGGTACACAATGCTAGTGATTTGCTGATCAAACCCCTGGAAAGTTTTCGGAAGGAGCAAATAGGCTTCACCAAGGTACATTTCTTTTATATGCATAACATGTATATTTTTTACAGCACTTGAATAGTTGTTTGGCAACCACTCTTCAGTTTTCTGGGGTGAGAAGGATTTATCTATATAAGAAAACACATCATCAAAAAAGATGAGAAAATTAATTGGCTTCTGGCTATGCCTTCAACTAGTTATGTATCTCTGGACAAGACACTTCTCCTTTGGGAGTTTTAGGTTCTCCATCTGGCAAATGAGGAGTGTGATAATAATAGCTATTATTTGAAGACTACTTATCCTGGCTGCTGTGGCTCAGTGGTTGAGCATCGACCTATGAACCAAGCTGGTCACAATTCCCTGTCAGGGCACATGCCCGGGTTGTGGGCTTGATCCGCAGTAGGGGGCATGCAGGAGGCAGCCAATGGTTGATTTTCTCTTATTTTGATGTTTCTATCTCTCGCTTTCCCTTCCTCTCTGAAATTAATAAATATATATATATTTTTAAAAGTGAAGACTACTTATTATGTACTGAGCACTGGACTAGATGCTTTTTAATAATTCTCTAATTACAACAAACCTGTGAGGTTCTGGTATTATCAGCAGACACATCTGAAGGGCTAGATTTTAGGACCCATTCACAAATGAGGTCTAAGATTTGGACAAGGGAAAGAACATGACTAAAGTTATATAGTTAGTAAGTGACAGTAGCCAGGATTTAGATCTAAGGATCCTTTTAGCTTCAAATCTCCCATTCCATTAAGCCATAATATCCAGATCTGTGCTGTCCAATATAGTAGCTGATAGCTGTGCAAATAAAATAAATTAACAAATCACTTGCTCAGTGAAACCAGTCATATTTCAACTGCTCAATCGGCACATGTGGTTAGTAACCACTATATTGGACAGCACAGAGATAGAACATTGCCTTCAATGTAGAAATTTCAGTTGGACAGCTTTGTGCCAGTTAATCTCAGCTTGACTACTTATAGAATGCTGATTTCCCAGGTTCTCATAAAGGGGTATGAATAATTATGAAATTTATTCTTATCAGCTAGGTGTAGGCCTGTATTGTGAGCTACAATATGTATGCACCATGTAACCAAGAGTGTCTACCAGAACTAAATGTAGCAACTTGACCAAGCATCTGGCCTTTTTAGTACTAAGAACACAGCATTCAGTGGTTATTATCTGCAATATCATGACCAACAGTTTGGATCCAGGATATGAAAGTAGCAAGTTATGAAAAGAAAGAGCAGACTAGTAGAAGTGCTCCCACTGCCTGATGTCATTATTCAAGGTGACATGGACATTATTTGAGTGATTGGCATTCAAGCACAGCAATTCTGGATTCCACTCAGTTCATCTGGAGTCTCAATAACATGAATAGTTAATTGGACAAGTATATAATAGGAGGGAAGAATCTTTACAATCACAAGTGTGATATGAAAATAATTAACTACTTGTAATTGACTTGATAATTGTTACATAATATTGAATAAAAAGGATAAGGATAGATGACATAAAAACCTTTACACATGGTTTACATTCATTCCTGGATGAGAATAGGTAAAAGGAAAGGAAGAATTTGCTGCAGTGGTTGACCTCATGTCATCTGAGGGGAAGGAAATGAATTTCTATTATATACTTCCTATGTCACAGGCCTGGGCTGAGGATTTTACATACACTATCTTCCCTTAGTTATTACAGCAAACCTGTAGGATGTATAATATCCATTATCCCAATGAAGAAACTGAGACTCAGAAAGGTTAAATTCCTATTTTTTCCTTACTTCTTTATCAGTGGGGCCAACCTGTACACATACAAGGAAAGTGATCAACGTTCGGTGTGAGAGTCGTTTTCAAGAAACTATCTAAAATTCTCCTAGTAGTAAAATGTAAGGTAGCAGACAGAGCTCTGAAATTAGGACAAGAAAGTGTAGCCTCCAGTCTACCCCTCTATTTTATTTATTTATTTATTGTCTCTCAGTTTGAACACTCCTCAATACCTGTTCTGTGAAAACAGACAGAATTCCTTTAAACATCTCTCCTTTACAGTGCACAAGATGTTAAGCTTTCTCAGCAGAAGGTCCTAGGAGGATATTGTTGGAGGAAGGGTACGCCTAAAGTTTCTGGCTGCTACACAGCTGGGCCAGTAGAATGGGAGTGAGATATTGGTGGGACTCTGGCCGCATCACACACCCTGAATACATGGTCCCTCAGTAATCTCAAAGCCTCCCCTGGCCTGGTGATAATCTTTTTGCAGTTCTCTCAATATAGGTCTCTCCCTGAAGGGCTCCCCACCCATGCTTTCCCCCATCTTTCCTCTGTAGGTCCCCTATGTGGCACACCTGCTGAATAAAGGCTTATGAAAGAGTTGCTACTCCATATTTCCTTTGCCAGCCCTCATACAGGCTGGTTGTACCTTAAGATGTTTCCACTGAGGCAGGCTGGCTCTGCAAAGCTCACTTCAATCTAGAGATTTTCCCATCCTCTCTGTATACCTTCCCCACTGTCTGCTGGTTGTCTTTTCCCCATCTGCATTCTGGAGAGTTGCCTCCTTCTTACTTTGTGACTGCAGACCACCAGGCCAAGCTAGCAAACTTCTCTGCTATTCAGTGGCTTAAATTATTATACCTTTTTTTCAGTGAGATCTAAACCCCTTCCAAATTCATTCTCCCTAGGGTACCTTTCCTCAGCCTGTGGTACTGTACAGAGTTAGTTTCCTTATATCTTATATTTCCTTTTTTTAGTTTAGTAAATTTGTAGTTTATTAATTTTTATACTGATTTCTATCTCTTGATTGGGCCCAGACTGATACACCCAGCATTGCTGGGAGTTGGCTCCTCTGACTTTATTGGTGTTGGTATGTGCTTTGTAGGACCTTACAAATATAGATGTATATTCTCATTTGAACCCCAGAGCAGCCTTGTACAGTAGAGGTTATTATCCCAAGTTTACAGATGCAGACACCAAGATTCAGTGAGATGTAATGTCTGAGGCACTCAACCAGGAAGTGGCAGAGCTTGGATTTGAATTCAGTTCTTCTGGTTGTAAGACTAGGGCTCATTTCCCTTTATGAGAGATACCACTTCTCTCTGGGCTTCAGTTTTCTCATGTGTACAACATGAACCATGGACAAATAACTCCTAATCACCTATTCTGTTTGTAATTATCAGGGCAATTAACTAAATTTGCATCTGTTGAGTAATTGAAATTGGCATATCAGAATTTAGTGTATAAACAATTCTGAGGATAATATGAAAAAATGGAAATGTTTCATTAATATTTTATGTTGATTACATGTTTAAATGATATCATTTTGGATATATTGGGTTAAATAAAATATATTATTGAAGCTGATTTCACCTGACTTTTTCCCTTTGGGGGGATTTTTAAAATTAAATTTATTGGGTGAAACTAAGCAAAATACGTCAGACAGAAAAAGTTAAGAACCATATGATTTCACTCATATGTGGGATATAAAATGGAAATCGTTTTCCTTTTTTTAATGTGACTATGAGTAATTTTTAAATTCTAATATAAAGTTCTTGGAACAGTACCTGAAAACAGTACCTGTTTTCTGTCATTGTCGTTGTTGTCGTCATCATCTTCACCATCACCATCACCATCATCATTATCTTTGGCAGCAAAATGGGGAGAATAGAATGCTTCCAATGAAATTTTCCAATTTATGATGGGCTTACTCTGATTTACAAATAAAAAAAAATAGAAGTTAATGAGTAAGGCAAAAAGAGACGGTAGAGGCAATGAATGTTTCCCAAGTGGTTACTGATTTATGGAGAGGTTTCATGTCACCAGGCCTCTAGATCGGTGTCTGCGTCACTGCAGGATGTTGGAGATGTCTTTTTGTCATGGATAATTTTAAAAAGTTAACAAAATAACAAAGTTCTGAGAATTAAGAGGGTACACATTGTGAATAAACATCTTGGTTATCAAACATGATTAACTTTTTCAAATGACACTGATGCTATTACCGCTTGAAATAGTAATTGTTTTGTGTGAAATCTGTGGAAAGGTAATGGGACAAGCATGGAGGGGAGTGAATTGTGATACCCAAATAATATTTTTCTCCTATGGATAGATTCTGAGCTGTTGGTCAGAGATGTAACTGGCTAATGCAAGTTACTTTGCAGAGTCCATTTGCAGGCCAGTGAACTCTGTTGTCAGTTCCACTTGGGTGACTGCATCCCAATAGATAGGACCATTCAATAACAAACTGTCAGAAGGCTATTTTCTTTTTTTTTCAAAATTTATTTTATTTTATTTTATTTTTTTCCTTCTGTTTCTTTTTTTTAAAATTAAATATTTATTGTTCAGATTATTACATTGGTCCCTCTTTTTTCCCCCCATAACTCCCTTCCACCCAGTTCCCACCCCACCCTCCGCCCTCACTCCCCACCCACTGTCCTCATCCATAGGTGCATGCTTATTGTCCAATCTCTTCCCGCACCCTCACACCCCTTTCCCCCCCCCCCCAAGAATAGTCAGTCCATTCCCTTTCTATGTCCCTGATTCTATTATAATCACCAGTTCATACTGTTCCTCAGATTATTTATTCACTTGATTTTTAGATTCACTTGTTGATAGATGTGTATTTGTTGTTCATAATTTGTATCTTTACCTTTTTCTTCTTCTTCCTCTTCTTAAAGGATACCTTCCAGCATTTCGTATAATACTGATTTAGTGGTGATGAACTCCTTTTAGCTTTTCCTTATCTGTGAAGCTCTTTATCTGACCTTCACTTCTGAATGATAGCTTTGCTGGATAAAGTAATCTTGGTTGTAGGTTCTTGGTATTCATCACTTTGAATATTTCTTGCCCCTCCCTTCTGGCCTGCAAAGTTTTTGTTGAGAAATCAGCTGACAGTTGTATGGGCGCTCCTTTGTAGGTGAATAACTGTTTTTCTCTTGCTGCTTTTAAGATTCTCTTTTTATCTTTAACCTTTGGCATTTTAATTATGATTTGTCTTGGTGTGAGCCTCTTTGTGTTCCTCTTGTTTGGGACTTT